CTGAACGGCGCAGCTATCGGCACCCGCGCGGTCAGCGAGCATCTGAAGGGGGTCGGCGCTCTCGATGTCGCTGGAATCGGCGCGCTCGCTGCTGAAGTCGGCCATCGGCGGGGTCCCATCCGACGCAGTGGAGTCGTCGTCGGAGTAGCCGTAGCATGTGGCGATGATCCTGAGATCCTCAAACGAGTTGCAGTCGCCAGCGCACGAGTCCACGACCGAACCAACCGAGAAAACCGGCACGTCCAACTTCCTCTGGTGGAGGTCGTTGGCGCGCGGGCCGGAGCGGACCACTGAGGAGCCGCCATCGCCGTGGTACTTGGCGATGGCCGCGGTGTCCACCTCTGGCAGAGCGGGGCAAACGTCTACACGACTAGCGTTGGGCGGCTCATGCTCGTCGCTGCTACCGACGATGCATGCGCGCTCCGCAGCCGCCGCTGCTTTCGACGATTCGCGCGCGCTCCGCAGCGTCGTCGCTCCAAATGATACCGAGCACAAGCACGCCAATGCAGGTTCGATCTTGGGCGCGTACTTCGGGCTGATCGAAAAAATGCTGCTGTTGCAGTTGCCCCAGCGGCGCGAACTGCATGCAGGTGTTTGCCACGCTGTCAATCTGGGAGTTGGTTGCGTCGACGGTCCTGGCGATGGAGCGCTGGTGTTCTGCTCGCGGTGCTGTGAAGTGGCACTGCAGATCGGCCACTTTTCTTTGCATAATTCCTGCTGTTGCCGACCGCTGATGGCGATGAGCCGCGTGATGGTCTTCGCGTGGCACGCGACCGAGACGCCCTTGCAAGCAGGGCCTTGGAGCTCTTCTCGTGGATGTGCCTGATCGTGCAACCCAGTGGCGCGGCCGGAATCGGTGTTGCAGACCCCGGAAGAGCCATCGCAGCAGCACGAGCTTCATGTTGAAGACCACCGGCTCGATGCTTAGCTCGATTGGCAAAGCGAAGTGTACGAAAACACGGGCGAAAAGCAGCAGGAGGCAGATCCGCATCCGCAGCGGCCCCACGAGCATAGTGATGAGGAGCGTCGGCAGCGCGACCATCAATACCGTGAAGCTCCATGCAAGTGCCACCGGGGCTGCTGCGCGCTTCAGCCACTTTGGAAGGGCCAACCATCAAAGACCAGCGCCAGGCAGGGACTGAAGAAAACCACGCTCTCTCGCTCGGGCATGGCGCGCCTCGCGACTTGCAAGAGAACGACGCTCTGGCACGGGATATGACGGGGGAGGAGGCGCCAACACTCAAAGGTGCACGCTCGAAGCACATTCGCCGAGGACGAGGACGAGGAGGAGGAGGAGAAGAGGAGTTTTCTCTTCCTCCTCATCCTCCTCTTCCTCCTCCTCCAATTGTTTCCTTCGCCTCCTCGTCACCGTTCCCCGAGAAGGAGGAGGAGGAGGAGGATGGGCAGGAACAAAAAGAGGGGGAGGAGGACGAATACCCCCCATGCTGGCGGAGGATCGTAGGAGGAGAGGGGACGAGCAGGAAAAGTAATAAAATGAGCGGGTAGCAACAGCAGCAACATGTTCAGCATAATAATGAAACTCAGCAGATGTGTTGCCTCCCTCTCTTTTATAAAAAAGCGAAGGGACAATAACAGCAGTAGCAGTCGGAACGCAAGTCAGCGTAGCAAGAAAAATAAATAGGGCTAGGGTGGGCACCACTTGCGACGATGTGGGACATTAGTTGGTACTGGGGTTTGGCAGCGCGTGTGTGCATGAGTGTACGTATGTGTGCATGTGTGTTTGCATGTATGTATGTATGTATGTATGTATGTATGCATGTATGTATGTATGTATGTATGTATGTATGTATGTATGTATGTATGCATGTATGTTTGCATGCATGCATGCATGTGTGTATGTATGTATGTATGCATGTATGTATGTATGTATGTATACGTGTATGCATGTATGTGTGCGTGTATGTATGTGTGTATGTATGTTTGTATGCAGGTGTGCATGTATGTATGTGCGTATGCATGCAGACCTGTTGGCAGCATGTGTTTGTGGCAAATATGTATACACATACATACATACGAATGCCTACATGCATACATACACATACATGTACGTATGTGTATACTTACACACATATGTACCCACACCTGTCGCACATGTGCATGCTTAGTTGCATGTGTGCCCAAATCAACATATTGTATACGTATAAGAGAGAGAGAGAGAGAGAGAGAGCGAGAGAGAGTGACAAAACAAATATATATATATATAGAGAGAGAGAGAGAGAGAGAGAGAGAGAGAAGGAGAGAGAAAGAGATACCATGGACGAGGGGAGGGCCATGTTTTGAGACAAGCAGCGGCGAGTGGCAGGATCAAAGCGGTGGCCACGGGGGAGGGAGTGAGGGAGGAGAGACGAGGATCGTCTCTGGAGCGAGACGAGGGGGGGACTTGAAGGGACAGGAGGGGAATACAGTGAAAACGTACAGTAAGGGCGCGTGGTAAGGACGCAAGACCCTTGGAGGCCGAAGTTGAAGCATTCTGGCCTGCGAGAATTGCTAGGGACGGGCCGCAGAGGCTGAGGCAGGCAAGGACCCAAGGGTACCCTTGAAAAAGTCGTTTGTCCTTACTATGCGCGTTGACTGTAAATAACCGACGGCATGAAGAATAGGACTTTGGAGAGGGGAGATCGGGCGCGAGAGGGGGGCGGGGGGGATGGGAGAGCAAATGGAGCAAATGCTTATCGGAGAAAACGGAAAGCAAAAACATACACCGGAATCGGCCAGGGGTCTGCCCAAACCCAGTGCCCATTTTCTATGAACAGTGCGAGCAAGACACCCAAGTTTCTTCGCCTTACAAGAAGGAGGTCCCTAAATCTAGCCCATCAACGTGAACCTGCTGCCAATCTCCGGCATGTATTGCGGTTTCAGGACCCATTCCGCAAGCTTCCCACGCAGCTCTCCGCTGCTCGCAGGCGATGCCACCCCTCAACGGGCTTCTGCTTTGCAGAGCAATCTGTGCACCAGGGCAATCACCCGTCTGGGCAACCGTCCTCCCAGCACAATGAAACCGTGAGCAGAGCAGACACCCCGAAATTGAACCCTTTCGTTTCGCTGATGACTCTGCGCACGCCACGCCGACTTCTAGTCTCCCCCAGGCTGGCAAGCACCGGCGTGCTACGCAGCGGGTACGACTTTCCTTGAGGCCGCCGTGAATGCGATAGCTGAGTTGTGCAAACTTTAGCTTGCTGGAGCGGCGCGACCAGCAATGCTGGAGAGCGTGAGTGCCCTCATGCACGGCCAGCGTGACGGCATTCTTCTGTCAGCAAGAACTTCTCCAGGCACTGTGCAGACATCCAGGCAGGGAGCATGCTCTGGCCTTAATCTTCCTATGCGCAGACGTGTCCCTGTTCAACCGTTGGCCACAGCTTCTCCGCCAGAGCAGCCTTTACGTGGCGAAACCAATAACCAAATGTCCCCCCCGTCTTCCTCATTTCTTGCTCCTCCTCCTCCTCTTCCTCCTCCTCCTCCTCTTCCTCCTCCTCCTCCTTCTCCTCCTCCTGCTCATCATGCTGATCCTCCTGCGGCTGCTAACGAGCAACTTTCCGGAAAGACGCGGCCGATGGCACCAATCGCAGGGCTTGAGCACTCCCCCTCCCTTGCAAGTACAACATCATGGCGTTAAACCGCTGCGTCCCCGGGCACGGAGGAGGAGCAGGAGGAGGAGGAGGAGGAGGAGGAGGAGCAGGAGGAGCAGGAGGAGGAGTAGGAGGTGGAGGAGGAGGTGGAGGTGGGGAGGTGGAGGAGGAGGAGGAGGATAGGCGTTAAAACCGCGGCCCCCCTCCCTCCTGCCTCGCTGTCTGTCGCCGCCGCCACCCCCCCACCCCCGAGACCCGCGGCGGGCGCCTGGCCAACGCCTCCGCGGGTGCCGCGGCAGTATGCTCCCCTTGGCCCGCGGCTTCGGTGTCGTCGCTCGCAGGCTCGTCGCTCTCGGCCGCCCCATCCAGGCAGACTTCGCCCCTCGCCTGGCCACTTCCTCCTCCTCCTCCTCCTCCTGCTCCTCCTCCTCCTCCTCATATGCCTCCCCTCCTCCTCCTCCCGCCTCTCCTCCTCCCTCCTCCTCCTCCTCCCTCCTCCTCCTCCCCTCCTCCTACTCCTCCTCCTCCTACTCATCCTCCTCCCCATCGCCTCGCCTCCTCCTCCTCCTCCTCCTCCTCCTCTTCTTCCTCCTCCTCCTCCTCCTCCTCTCCTCCTCCTTCCTCCTCCTCCTCCTCCTCCTCCTCCTCCTCCTCCTCCTCCTCCTCCTCCTCCTCCCCCCAGTGCCACTCCACTCCTCCCTGAAGAGTCGGGGCTGGTCGCAGAGGAATCCCTAGAGGGCCACAAAACTCCTCCGAAGGCACGGCCTTTGGGCCTGGCACGCCGAATTCGAATTCGAGCTCGAGCGGAGTCCTGTCCAGAGCCAGCACTGGCCAGCTACTCGCTGATCAAGATGTCCCGTCGTCTTCAGAAGTAGGAACAACTCACTGCGTGCCCTCACTAACCTCTAAAGGTCTGAAATTAGCTTACCCCCTCTGTTTCCCTCAGCGGGGAACAAACTCCGCCCCTCTTCCTCCTCCTCCTCCTTCTCCTCCTGCTCCGCCTCCTCCTCCTTCTCTTCCTGCTCCGCCTCATCCTCGTCCTCCTCCTGCTCCTCCTCGTGGTCGTCATCGGTGTCGTCGTCGTCGTCGTCGTCGTCGTCGTCGTCGTCGTCGTCGTCGTCGTCGTCGTCGTCGTCGTCGTCGTCGTCGTCGTCGTCGTCGTCGTCGTCGTCGTCGTCGTGGCGGCGGAGATTATGTTTCCTCTATTCTTGGGCGGGCTGGATGGTGTTGGGGGGTTCTGTCTCCCAGGCAAGACTGCTCCCTGGGCGAACCTGCACGACAGAGGAATTGTGAGCACGTTCGAAAACCATTGCAATATATATATATATAGAGAGAGAGAGAGAGAGAGAGATCGACACATTCTTCACCGAATGCGTCGCTCACAATCTGCTCCTTCATCTCGTCGTCGTCGTTGGTGTTGTGCGGCGGGTGCCGCAGAGAAATACATATTTCCCACTGGTGGTGGGACCCCAGCCCCTCAATAGTCGAAAAGAAAATGATTTTCCACGGTTGGGGGGTTCTAAAGACCGGCCTCCCAGAGGGCTCCCAAATCACCCCCACAAACATCCCAGAGGCCTCTGACCTAGAATCCAGGCGCGGTGGCAGCATCGGCCGACGGCCACTAGATCCGCCGCCCCCTGTGGTCTTGCCACAGGGGTGCACGGCGTGCCGAACATCTGGCAGGTTTCGGTTCATTTCTAAAGAACTCCCCGTGGGGTTTCGGCCCAGCTCGCCAGCCACCCGCAAGGCAGC